GATTAGGAAGTCAGGGACTAAGATGTTTCTCTTGCTTTCCTGAGCACATGTCTCATCTCTCTCCATCTCACAGCTTGACTGGTCCCTGTTATTCCTTTTTCACTGATTGCTCTCTCTGGACTGGCTTCCTCTGCTACCACACAGCCTAACAGGGCCACCAACCTGAAAGTTACTTGACCTTTCAGCTTTTGGTCCATCCGTATATTACTGCACTGATTCCGTCCAGCCTGTGATAACACAAGAAGCAAGGGCCTGTAGGTGGAAGTCATCCTCTTAGAAGTGGGTAAGGGCAGAAAGGTAAAATATTCAGCACTTGGCATTTCTTCAACCGTAGCAGTTTTTAAGCACATACAAATGAGGTTGGAGTCTAGGGGTTATTTTGTTCAGAGGCCCATGAATGTAAGATTGCCCATCTGCCAAGTTTTGGTTCCTAGTTTATTGCAAGATGACCTTTGCTTACTACTATGTTTTCAGGTTCCACGCTCCCGACCCCAACCCCCACCCTCAGTCGTGGAGATTAAACCCGGGACCTTTGCACGGAAATACACCCCCAGCCGTTTTAAAATTTTTATTTTGAGCCACTCTAGCTAAGTTGCCCAGGCTAGGCTAGAATTTGCCATCCTCCTGCCTTAGCCTCCTAGAGTGCTGGGGTTACAGGTGTGCACCACCATGCCCATCTAGGTTCCATGTTCTTCCATCAAAATATGCTGTTTTATATAAAACTTTTCCTTTACTATTTTTGGTCTTAGGAGTTGAACCCAAGGTCCTCACGGATGCTAAGCACATGCTCTGCCACTGCTACCCTCCCTGCTTATTTTATGCTGAAACACCTTTGAAATACATAGTGAATTTGCCCATGCTACCAGTTTGTGGTGATTTTTCTAGCCTCAGAACAACTGGCACAATGCTTCTGATGGTACAGTTGCTACCAAGTTCTTAGTTGCTTCGGGTGTTTCTCCATTTTATTAATGCAGTGACCAAATTTATAATTATTTGTAGAATATAATTACAAGTACACATTATCAATATTATCAGCTTGATGCTTGAGCTTACTTTTGCATTAATGCAAACCCTGCAGTTTTTATATTAATTACAGAGGGAATTAATGACCCTTTAGACAAATTTTCACCTATGACTAAAGAGTTAGGAACCAGCTGTTCCAGTAATGACTGGTGTCCAGACGCAAGGGCAATGCCCACAGCTCTTGCCTTTCATCCTCAGGCTGAGACTACAGTCTTTCCACCATCTTCTCAGGGGTCTCCTGTTTCTGGCCTGGTACATAACTGATGCTGTTGTTATTTTTAAGAAAAATGGCCCTTTTACTATTACTGAAAAAGCCAGTTCTGTATATAAATGGTAAATCTAAGTGGGAGAGATGATCCCAGGCTCAGGGCAGAGTCATCTTCAGCTCCTCCTCCCCCTTTGTTTTTATTGTTCCAAATATTAATCATTGCTTTGCTTCAGAAAATGTTTACTGTATTTCAGAGAGCACTTGACACACATTATCTCTTTTTTTTTCCACTGAGACAGGATCTTGCTGTGCATTTCAGGCTGGACTTGAACTCTCTATGTAGCCCAGGCTCTCCTTGAACTCATGGTGATCCTTCTGCCTCAGGCTCCCAAGTACTAGGACTATAGGCATGCACCACCACACCCAGCTTCACACAATATCTTTAATCCTTGTTGCCACTCTGTCAAGTAGGGGTGATTTTCAGATAGGGAGGGAGACACCTAGACAGGTGAACTGACTTGCCTGAAGTCATCCATCCATCCATCTATCCATCCCTTCCTTCATTCAAGGACAATGTGTTGAGTACCTACAAGGTGCCAGTTGATACAGTGCAGTTAATACGATGGTGAATAATAGAGTGATGCCCTGCTCAGGTGGAGCCCACTGTTGGGTCAGGAAAAAGACTATGATCCACAATTATAAGAGAAGTATAGGTTGCCATGAAGCACCATGGAAGTATGCCTAACCCTGCCTCCCAGCCTGAGGGTCAGGGAGGCTTCTCCAAGCTAGAGTCCAAGCTGAGGCTTAGAGTATGAGAGGAAGTGAGCCCTTGGAGGGACGAGGAGGCGGGGCGAAGTGAAGTAGACATTGCTGCAGGCCAGACCTGTGGGAAGGATGTTTGGCACCTCCATTTGTGAGGAACTGGCGTGATTGTGCAGTGAGATGAGGCTGATATGAGAAAGTGTTTAGAAAGGAGGCAGAAGTACATTAGGAGGCTGGAACTGAGTGGGCCCAGAGCTAAATCACTGTAGGACAAAGCAGCAGAGTTTCCATGCTTTCTGGACTCTTGGCAGCAGAGGCCTCCCAGGTGGGCCTGCCTGGTCAGCATCAGTGTGGAATCCAGTGACCTCACTGCCATCTAGTGTCCACTGGCCTATTTGCAGCTTCCACCTCTGTACAAGGTCTAGCACCAACATAGGAAACCAGGGCCCTATGCTGGGTGCTGGTGACATTGAAATGAACAAAACACTGCCCAAACACTGCCCCTTTCCTCACAGAACTCTGGGCCAAGAAAAGGCCACGAGAGTGTAAACAGTGTCAAAAGAAGCTGGCTGGAAGAATAGCAGGGTGGAAGGACATCAATGATTTGACCCATCCTATCCTGTCTGAGTGGGGTCACAGGGTTTCTGAGAGGGCATCACCTCTAGCTGACTTTTTAAGAATGAAGGGGGAGCTGGCCAGGCAGGGAGGTCACTGGGGCCCAGAGGGGAAACACAGGTGATGGCGAGGCATGGGGTAGAATTGCAGACACTTCTGTCTGGGTGGGGTGCAGTTTGATGATAGGGAAAGACTGAGACTAGCTGGAGGTAGGAGATAGGCTCGCACACAGAAGGCAGATGCCTGCCACTAGCTTATTCACTACGCACTTAGCGCATGGGATCCATCACGCATGAGAAGAAGCTTCCCTGCTATTGGGATCACAAACCCATCTGAGGGGCCAATGAAAACTAGAAATTTTCCATACAGTGCAGGGGCTTCAAAGATACCCCCTCCCATGCTTACAGGCTTCCAAAATGCTCTTAGTATAAATAAAGAAACCCTTATTGTGGCCTTCAAGGCTCTGCATGATCAGGCCCTGCCTGCAGCTCCAGTGTCACTTCTCTTCCCTTTTTCATGCAACTACATCAGCCTCTTTGCGGTTCCTGGAAATAGTGCTTCAGGTCTTTGCTCAGGTTCTTTAGTCTTCCTAGAATGCTCTCCTTTTGCTCGGTTTAATTCTCTTAGTAGGTGAATGGCTGTCTCCTCTCCATTGGATATAAGCTCCGCAAGAGCTGGACAGTGTCTACTCTTAGTCACTGCTGTATCCAGCACCTGGTCCACTATCTGTTGGAAGAAGTGAACGAAGGACCCCCTCACCACTCCCCTCAGCGTCATGCTCTTCACCTTTAATTCCCTTTTCCCTTTAGCCCTTGGTGAGCCATCCCTTGCGTTTACACAACATGCTCAGTCAGCCGTGTATGAATTCCCAAAGTGGCTCCTGATTAAAGGGTATTTTCGTGAGTTCCTCTCCCCCATCCCTGAAACAAACAGGCTTCCCACAGGTCTCCTCACCTCCCTAGGAGAAGGCTCAGAGTCTCTCAGGCTCAAGTTGAGCCTCTTCATCGTGTGCATCCTGACAGGTACTCTCAGGTGGGAACCGATGCTCCTTTTCTATAGATTTGTTTCCTGCTCTGCCGGGCATCAGGGTATATAATCTTTGCCTTATCAGGGCACACAGCATCAGCCTTAGAACCAGGACTAGAATTTCATTCTTTTGACCCCTGCGAGGCTAAGAGAAAGGTCTGGGCCAGATGTGCAGCTCATAGAGTGATAACTGCAAATGGGTTCAAGGTGAAACTGCTGTGGGAGCTGGGAGAATTTCTCAGGGAGAGTAAATGCAGTGGGGCTGAGGCCAGAGACCCAAGGGCCAGGGCTTCAGGGAACAGGCAGAGAGAGAGAGGAGGCCACAAAGGACCCACGGATGCCAACCTTGTGGTGGTGTGGAGGGCCTCTCTCTCTCTCTCTCTCTCTCTCTCAGCAGCTTTGGCTTTCTCGAGAGGAACTAGCTGTCCTAGCAGGGAGGCAGGAAGGCTGGCCTGTTGCCTGTCAGCTCCTATTTATTCTAGATCACTGGGTCCCTGACCCCTCCCAGAGCCACCTTCTGCTCAGAACAGCCAGGGGCCTGGGCTCTGGGACTTGAAAGGACAGAGGTGCTCTGAACTGGAAGTATGGTCCTCTTTACAAGCCTCGCATCCTTCAGACCCTAACACTCCTCTCCTTTCCCCAGTGCTACTTGTATAGAGGACAGAGAGATTACTGTTGCGGTAGGCAGGAAGTCAGGGCGCTTGGATCCTAGTCTGAACTGAACTTTATTAACTTTAGTGAGACTCTATTCCTCTCAATTGCCCCATCTGTACCAAGCAATCTCCTTGGAGGAACGGCCTCTTGATTATGAGTGGCACATCTTCTGATTTATGTTTTTTCTTCAGAGAGCATTTTCTTGGCGAGTCTAGAAAACAGTCCAGAAAAGATCCCGGGCTCTACCATGATATCCCAAACTGGGTAATTTGAATTTTACTTGATGTGGAGTACCCCAGAATACCTCCTAAACATAGTCTGTAACTATGATGAAAATGAATGTGTCTGGAAAAGGCTTCTATTGAGAGATTCCTTTGTTCATGAAATAGTGAGGTGGCCGAGGGGACAGATTCCAGATTTGGGAATGGTCAAACCAAGTGTTAATCTTGGGGTTCTGCTGCTAATACTGAACCTCTTTACATCTCAATTTTCAGAAGAGCCCTACTGATACGAATTTGTCAGGGTATTTTGGGAGATTCTAGTGGCGGTGCACATGGGGGGGCAGCTGGAGGTTTGGCCCTTGGGAATAACTGTGAGCTGTAGAGCTGCTTCCTCTTAAGAGGAGTTCCCAGCCCTCCTGGGGGAGCAGGGAAGGAGCAAAGTTTCCAGTTGCAGCCTGGCCTACAGCCCAGCAGGCCTGGCCCCGCCTCCTTGGTTCCTCCTTCAAGGGAAGGGGTGGGGAGGAGGAGGTAGTGACGTTTGAGGTGCCCACAGGCCCAGGGGGCCTGCCCTTGGGATAGATCCAGACCCATGGAATTCCCCGGGAGGAGCAGCAGGTAGGAACGTGGGACCCACAGCCTGACCCCCTCCCTTTCTGCTCAGACCTGGAACCAGTCCCTGAGCTGCTGATTCAGCAGCTTCCTGGCTTCCTGGTTCCTGACTCCCTCTTGGACTTTTGGAGGCCTTTGGCTGGGGAGAAAGCTGGCTTGAGTGGGCACGCCCATGGCATCTGGGTGCCCAGCTCTGTAAGGACCCTGGAGTCCCAAGCACCCCCTCCCAGTCTGTGGCCTGGGAGGAGTGAGTTTCGCAGCTGCCCTGGCACTAGCCTGGCACACACAGCATTGCAGGGCTAAGTTGCTTCAGCTGCTGAGATTGTCTGATACCAGCGTTCCAGCAGCCTGAGTCTCTTGAGTTTTAGATTCAATGAGATAGTGAGTCAAGGACATGGATGGGTGCTTGGCACATGAAGTTTTCAAGTGGCACTTGAAAACCAGTCGCTTTGACGATGATAGTTACTCTAGAGTCTCATATAAGAAATCTCAAAGATTCTGCATAAAGAGTTAAGATTTTGGCATTTTCAAATTTGTAGCAAGTGACAGTGGGCTGGCCTGGCCTACATCCTTATCTCCTCCTGACTTTTACTTGGGCTCTTGAATGGCCAGGCTCTGACCACAACCTGCCTCCAGGGGCTTGTGGGGAACAGGCAATGGCTGACCTGGGCCAGCTGGTCCTGGCTCTGGCCAACTGGTGTGACCCCAGCAGCTACACTGCAGTAGTGCAGGGATGGGCCCTCAGCCTCACCCCCTTGCTGTTCCTCCTTTCCCTTGCCAATCCATGGACTTTAATCTTGGGAAGTAGGAGGTAGAGGGGCCTTTGTACCCTGCACTAGGTGGTGGGGGCCCAGTGAGTGGGGCGGTAGAGGTGGTGTGGGCCCTGCCTTGGGGTAGGGGGTGCAGCACTGGCCTTGGAAGCAAAAGACTCCTGCTTACTTGAGCCGGGCATGGTGGCACATGCCTATAATCCCAGCACTCTGGAGGCTGATGCAGGAGGATCACCGCGTGTTCAAGGCCAGCCTGGGCTACATAGTGCGTTCAAGGCCAGCCTGGAGTACACAGGGAGATCCTGTCTCAAAAAAAAAAAAAACCAAAAACAAAAACAAAAAACAAAAAACAGACTAAAAGACTCCTGCTTGGAACCACCTTGTCCTCTGCCTTGCTTGGGCTCCACCCATTCAATCAGCCCTGAGTCCTCTCCTGTCACCAAGACCACTGAGACCTTGTTACTCTCCTCCTCCCTCAACCCTCCTCTGCACTGACTTTCTCTGCCTCTCCCTACTTGTCCTTTCTGTGTCTGTTGTCTCGCCCTTTCTCTGTCTTCCTCTTTCTTTGTCTTTCCTGTCCTTTCGGTTTCTCTCTCCTCTTCTCCTCCTTCAGTGTCCCCCCACCTGGGTTCTTCCCCTTCCCCACAGCTCCTCCTCCTTCCATCTTCTCTTGCTTCCTGTGAGGGGCCTTCTATAAGAGGAGCTCCCTTCAGACATCTTTTCCCTTTCTCTTTCATCCCCTCCCTTTCTCCTCCCTTCCTTCCTACCCATGTGGCGTCTAGTGTGAGGAGGGCTCCTTTACCCTTTCCTTGCTGTGGTGTCCCAGCGTCTCTCAGTGGCCCAGGTCCCCACGGAGTCACCTGGAACACAGGAGGCCCAGCCCGGCTCTTTCGTCTCTGCTGCCCCCTGTTGTCGTTGTGTTCTGTTTGTGGTTCCAGTGCCGTCCTCTTTTTCTTGACTTTGTGGTTTTTTCTTTTTTTCTTCCTTCCTACCTTCCTTCCTTCCTTCCTTCCTTTTCCCTCTCCCTTCTTCCCTTTCCTTTCTTCCATCTGTTCCTTCCTCCCTGCATCCATCCCTCCTTCCCTGTCTTCCTGTCTCCCTTCTTATCATCCTCTTCTCCCTCCTCTTCCCCCTCCAATTCCATTCCCTATCCCCCATTCCTACCGACTTCCCTTCCCCTCCCCCACTAACTCACCTCCTGTCCCATTTGCCTACCCTGTGCCCCCCACACTCTCTGTCTCTGTCTCTTGCTGTCTCTCAGGTCCACAGCGTCTCATACTCTACACCAGTATTGCTGTCCTACTCAGGTCCTTGACTCCATGAAGCTTACCCCCTCAGGCAGGCTGGCAGAGAGCAGGTAAGAGCTAGACCCATTCTTCCCCCCAATCCCTCTCCCTTCCAGACAATTATGCAGTATCATTGCCAGACTCCTTCCCCATGTCCCTTAGTCCCTAGTGTGACTGTGGAATGGGTGTCTGAGTGTCTGAGGAGAGTGCATGAGAGATCAGGTCAGGAAACAAATGGGGACAACTGGAATCTATGTGTAGTTTAACCTTTGTTGGAGAATGCTCTGAAAAGCAGGAGTGTTTGGTCCTAGAACATGTGACATTTGAGCTGTTCTTAAGGGTGAATAGGAGTTTGCCAGTTAGGCTGGGAAAAGGTGTTCAGGCAGAGGGAAGAATTTGCCCACACCTTCAGAGAACATTATTTCCAAGCTAATTAGCAAATATGTCTTATGTTTTCTAATTAAAATGCAACAAAAAGAAGTACGAACTGCAACATCAAAAAGGGTAGGCCCTACCCACATTTAAAAGTTCTACAACTGGGGAGGTTGAGGCAGGAGGATCACTTGAGTTTGAGGCCAGCCTGGGCTACACTGCTGAGTTCAAGGCCAGCCAGAACTGTATAGTGAGACCCTGTCTCTACCTCCACTACCCCCAAAAACCCAAAAAAGCAAAAAAAAAAAAAAGCTTGCTTTAAAGGAGAAATAAGAATAAAATTTATAGACTATTTAGAATAAATGACATCAATAAGAGTACTGTGTATCAAAACCTATGGGAGTTCCAAAGGAAAATTTATAGTCTTAAGTGGTTTTATTGGAGAATAAGACATATTAATTAAATGAACTAATTATTCCACTCAAGAAGCTAGAGAAAAACAACTAAAAGCAAATATAATAATTACTTTAGAGAGCAGAAATTCCTGTTTCTTAATAGAAAACAAATTATTTGATAAAGTACTAGGTTGCTTTTGAAAAGATCAGCAAACTGGGTAGACCATCATCTGGCAGATATGATTGAGAAAAAAGTGAGAAAATAAAAGTAAAATAAAGAGATAAATAAAATAAGACTGTGAGGAGATGGGAAAAAGATAAGAAAATGCTTTTATACCAATAAAAATAAAAATCTAGATGAAGTGTGTGTATATTAGGAAAATATAAATTACCAAAGTGTCCTAAGAAGGGGTAGAAACCCTGAATAGACTAGAAAAGAATAAATTGAAAACATGGTCAAAGTTTTCTCTCAGACATAGTACCAGATGCAGTTGATATTCTGGAAGCTGTGGTACAATGGAAGTTCAACTGTATTTGGAAAAATCAGTTAGTAGGCTAAGAACTGTCCAGGCATGTTGGTACATGCCCATAGGCCAGCTATGCAGGAGGATGAGGATGGCTTGAGCCCACGAGTTCAAGGCCAGCCTGGGCAACACAGAAAGACCCCTGTTTCAAAAACAAAACAGGGCTGAGGGATGTGGCTCAGTGGTAGAGTTCTTGCCTACAGTGTACAAGGCCCTGGATTCAGTCCCCAGCACTAGGGGAAAAAAAACACAAGTAACTGGATAGGTTTAGAGCAAAAAAACAAAACAAACAAACAAAAAAAACCAAAAAAAACCAAAACTCAAACCGTAGCCGAACCTCACATATTAATAGAGCAACAAATATTTTTAAAGATATCAAATGGAATCTGTCAATGTGTTAAAAGAATATATCTTGACAATGAAGATTTTCCAGGAGTGCAAGGACTGCTCAACATTGGGAAAGCGGTTATTGTAATTTATTACATTAAGAGAATAAAGAAAAGATCATATATATAATAATTTTATAAATGCTGAAAATGGTCTGATAAAATTACACATGTATTCTCTTGCTACAGTGAAGTAATTTGTTACACAGCAATAGATAAGTAATAGAGAAAACTAGGAATCAGTGAAACTTCTTAACTTGGTAAGGAATTTTTATCAGAAACCAAATACAGTCATCAAATATAGCTGTGAAGCACTAGACACATTTCAAAAAGAAAATAAGGACTTTTATCACCATTATTTAGCCAATAACTTTTTGGACATTTTGTTTTGTTTTTGAGATTAAAGTCTTGAAGTGTTGGCCAGGTTGACCTCAAACCCATGTTCCTCCTGCCTCAGCTTCCCAGAGTATCTGGGATTACATTACAGGTGTGCACCACCACCACAACATCAGGCTTTCTGGAGGTTTTAACCAATGAGATTTTTAAAAAGAAAAAAAGTGGCATAAATATTAGAAAAAAATCAGACTAGATGTGCATATTCAAGCCCAACCAACTTAGTGAGACCCTGTCTCAAAATTAAACATTTAAAAAAATGGCCAGGGATGTAGCTCAGGGCACAGGCTCTGTGATCAATCCCTAGAAGTCCAAAAAAAAAAGGTCAGGATTAGTATTATTTGAAGACAGTATTGCCTATTTAGACAATCAAAGGGATGGGTCCTCATGAAAATATATGAGGACATAGGGCAGTCTTTAGAGTGTCCAGATGGCTTTTCTGTGACACTTCTCCATCTTCCCAATAGGTGACCGCTGTCCTGCTTCTTTCATTACTTTTCTTACATTTACCATGGTTTTTTTTAACTAATCAGTATTTGTTTAGTTTTTTATCCTTTGAGTTTGAATAAATGAGTTCTATGGGAATTACACTGAAAAAATAGATAATCAAATAAAATGAAAATTATTACACCTAATAAGAAAATTGAGTGGAATAAGTAGATACAATATAAATATGCATCCAAACTGTTAGCTTCTCTGAATACCAGCAATAACTAATTAAAAATATGATAGAGCTGAATGTTGTAGCATATTCCTGTAATCCCAGCTACTCAGGAGGCTGAGGCAGGAGGACCACAAGTTTGAGCTCAACCTAGGCAACATAGCAAGACCTTGTCTCAAAATAAAAAATAGAGAGGGCTGAAGATGTAGCTCGGTGGTAGAGGGCTTTACTGAAGGCCCAGTACCACACAGAACAACAGTAGCCAAAAACAAAACAACCAAAAAAGCCCCTACAAAGTTCCTAGGAATTTATAAGAAATATGAAATTCTTTTCCATAAAAAATGAAAAACTCCAGTGAAGGCTGTAAGAAGATGAGTATATCAAGGGGCATATCCTATTCATGTATAGGAAGGCCCAACATGGTTAAAAAAAAAACCAGACATTTTACCCCTAATTTGCTCAAAAAGTTCAATGCATTTTACATTAAAATTTCAATGGGGCTAGGTATGGTGGTTTGGGAAGCAAAAGTTTGAGGCCAGCCTGGGCAACCTCTTGAGACCTTATCTTGAAATAAAAAAATAAAGGGCAGGGGATTTAGCTCAGTGGTTCTGCCACCTGTCTTGCAAGCGCAAGGTCCCAAGGTCAGCCTGGGTAACATAATGAGACCTTGCCTGAAAAAAAAATAACATAAATAACAGACCAGGAGATATCATCTTTGCTAAATAGCTATCAGGCACAATGTTAGTATTTCTGTCTATATAATCTCCCAGGAATCAATAAGAAAAAGACACACAAAACAGTACCCCCCCCAAAAAAAAACCCCAGATAGAAATAAAAAATTAAAAAGGGCTGGAGTATAGCTCAGTGGTAAGGTGCCCCTCCCTAGTACCACCGTACGATCAACAGTAAAAGAAAGAGAGGAGGAGTAATTTACTTGTGAATTTGACAGTTATATTTTAAAGTTTATTTGGAAGAGTATATGGCCATAAATTACTAAGAAAATTTTGAAAGATAAGAAAAATGAAAGACTTGCCCTATTAGATACAAAAACTTACCCTAAAATTGTAGTAATTACAAATGTTATATTCCCACAGAAATAGAGGAATACATAAGTGGAACAAAATAATTTAGAAACAAGCTCATACATTGACATGGGAAATTAATTTATGATAAAGAAGACACTTTAAATCAGTGGGAGTGACTGTTGGCTACTTATTTGGGAAAAAATTAAATCGAATCCCTATCTCATACCAAAAAATGCAAAAAATACAATTGTAAAAGTACCAGAAGAAAATCTGGAATATTCTTATATTAAAGTGAAGAAGGCCTTTCAGAGTATGACTTTAAAGCTCAGAAGCCAAGCAAACTGTGATGGTGCACATTTGTAGTCCCAGAAACTCTAAACGGTCAGGCAGGAGGATTGTTTGAGCTCAGGAGTTTGAGGTCCGCCTGGGTAACATAATGAGACCTTGTCTGAAAAAAAAAAAAAAGCCAACAACCAACCAACAAACAAAAACAGAAACCATAAAATAGAATAATCTTGGCGACATTACAATTTAAACTTCTATGCTGAGTGTGGTAGCAAGTGCCTGAAATCCCAGTACTCAGGAGGCTGAGGCAGAAGGATCACAAGTTCAGACCCAGCCTGGGCTACATAATGAGACCCTGTCTCAAAAAAACAAAACAAAACAAACAAACAACAACAACAAAACTTCTGTGTGGATGTAAAAAAAGATACTCTATACAAAGTTAAAACATAAATAACAGACCAGGAGATACCATCTTTGCTAAATAGCTATCAGGCACAATAGTATTTCTATCTGTATCATCTCCCAGGAATCAATAAGAAAAAGACACACAGCCATTTGTCATTTTATTTCTCATTTGATTTGACAATTCATAGAAGAACTGGAAAGTTACCTAATAAATGAGAAAGGATGCTCAAGCTTCCTACCAGTTAATGAAAGGTAACTAAAACAATAATGAAGCACCATTTTCAGGTACCAAAATTAAAAAGATTTTGGAAGCTTGTGCAGAAACAGCCTCTCAGATGCCTTGATTGGAGCGCACATCATTGCAATTTTTTAATGGGGCCAATTTTTCAGTTACCACATGAGTCTTAACTGTGCATATTCGTCCAAGCTGGGAACTGTATCTTGGAGCTAGACTTCTCTACGACTTTATACAAGAGGAACTCCCACTTGGCCAGCCAGAGGCTTTTTCTAAAACACCCCAACCCAAACTACAAACATAGGCCATATTGTAGAAATCTTTATCACATACCCTGGTAGAATGTCGCTCTCGACTAACTCTTGATTGAAAGGCTGCATGATACCTGCT